GTAATGAGAAGTCCTTTGTTCTTCGTCATAGCCTCATCGAAGCGGCGTACTGTATCACACTTACTTCTGTCTGCTCATTTCAAGTTTCTTAGAGAAGTTTTTGGTTGAAAGCATCGTGAAAATGCTCAGAATTAAGGGTGTATTCGGACAAGTAAACATTCAGAATCAACTATAATGTGACAGTGATAAATACAGTGACAGTGACAGAAATTGGAGTTGCAGACTTATCGACACACCCTGGATCTCCTCCCCAATCGATAACAGAGGGAATAGGATAGATATTCAGTCATAAAGGGAAATTATCGCTGCATTTATTACTTGCATTAACAGAGCCAGATCTTTTTATGATTCACAGCAAATGGCTTCATATTCACTTTACACTAGATNAGTGCGGGGCGCATCCCTCAGACGGGATTGATTAACGACGAAAATCTTATCCGTCACCCTTAACCCACAACATGAACTTTTCAATCCGTGGTTTATGAATATTCCATAAAGTGAAGAACTCTGAAGCAAACAATCAAACAGCGCGTGTTTACTAATAAATGCAATAAGTAAACATTCGACGTCTGAAGGCTTTTTGAAAGCCTGTTAGCATGTTTCTAAGGGTAAAACCAAGTAGAGGAGAGACTCAGGAGAGGGCTGTGTATCTGTTAATCTTCAAATTTCGGGAATTTCTTAATTCGAATCAGAATTTCCCAATTCCAGTGCACACTACCAATCCGGCTGTGATCGATCTGTTCAAACATCAAGTATGTCTGGAATCGAGTTGGCGATGGTCAGCCGCTCAACTTCTCAGGCATTCCTTCTTCACTACGGATCTTGGCGACTGCCAATCAGTACTGCAGTATCGGCCACATCGTGAACGTAGCTTGAGCGTACCACGTCGGCTACCGCGATTGCGGATAGGACCGCATGTTTAGGAGTAATGAGAAGTCCTTTGTTCTTCGTCATAGCCTCATCAAAGCGGCGTAATGTATCACACTTACTACTGTCTGCTCACTTTCATTTTCCTATTGAAGTTTTTGGTTGAATGGATCGTGGATTTGCTCATAATCAAGGGTGTTTGGACAAGTAAACTTTCAGAATCAATGTAACGGATAATTATTGTTCAAGTTTTTCTATCTCGGTTCCTATTCCAAGACGTAGCAATGACAGAAATTGGACCTGCAGACTTATCGACACTCCCCGCATCTCTTCCTTGATCAATAATCAGAGGGAATAAAGCAGATATTCAGTCATAAAGCGAAATTATCGCTGCATTTATTACTTGCATTAGCAGAGCCAGGTCTTTTTATGATTCACAGCAAATGGCTTCATATTCACTTTACACTAGATTACAATATGTCATCAGGTGGGTGCGGATGGGAGGATAAGTAACTTCGTTGAATTTCATCGATGATGTTAGTAAACAACATTCAAAAATACATGTGAGTGGTGATAAGCTGTCATGGAAGCCATCAAAAAAGGGAGGAAAAGCAGGGTTTTGGTAGTGTAAGGCACAAAAGAGCTGCCCGGAGAGTACAAATACAGGTTCAAAACTCGTTCGAAGGCGAATTTTCGAACACAACTCGTCATCTTGACATCCTTGCGGGATTCAACAATATATCGTTGTTTTTTATTAGTGCGTTTCTAATAATTTTCATTACTCTTACTTAATTACTATGGAAGTAATTTTCGATTTCTAGAAGCCAGCAGGTGGGTCCTTCGTAGATGAACATGTTGATTAGGGTTTGTCGGCTGAATCAAACTCCGTTTCGGGATGCATCCCCGCATTCGGCTTCAATTCAGAATCGTAGTTGCGAAATGAATGCGTATGTGGCCTATCAATGACTTGCAGTGGACAGCCGAAGTACAAGACAGTGCTTTCATCCTCCCAGACAAGTTTTGTACCAATTAACCAACCCCGTGGGTAAGGAAGGCTTGGTTGGCTCGATCCGGAATTTGAACTCCAGTCCATGTGTTTGTGGTGTTAAGCCATTTACTACTACACCACATGCACCCTTTCTATACATAGCCTTTTCCGAGCATGAATTCCTGTTGTTTACTTCTATTCGTGTTCGCGTACTCCCTGGGGAAAATTTCGGATCCACCTTGGCAATTCCTTGAAACATTGCGAGAGCGATAAATTTTCCGGATAAAACATACGAATCTATTTACCGTTGACTACTTAATTTTCACTTTCAATATTTTACTGCTACCTTTCAAGGTTTTCGGACTATTGACTGGATCTTTACTTTGCTTCATTCTTTACATCGATATATCTAAAGGAAGCCATAGTCTCCCGCGTAGCACGTATTCAGTTAGGAAAAAANAAAAAACCGAGTATTTTCTTTAAGTCATCATGTCGGGGTGAGCCATGCACCCAGCTTCCGTTCACGAGTTCTATTTGAATACACTTTCTGCATATCTGATGACAGGCAGTTTGCTCTCGTAATAATAGATGAATGATTTGGGTGATCAGCTTGAGGGTCTGATTGTAAAGGAATCGTCAAGGCCATAAGGAATCCACGTCAAATGAATTCAAAGTCTGCTCTCGTAGTATGAAGGATAGTAGGGGAAAGCAATAAATTGTGACAAATTGATAAATAATTTGATTCAAAAGTCATAGTTGAGCATCTTTCCCTTCGATTGCCGTGCAGGCGTTTCACCCACGTCTCATGCTGCAGACCTTCTCTAATAAAACCTCTTCTAATGGCTTACCACAACTTACCTCTGACAATTGAACCAATAAATCTTCCGAGGATTGGAGACCAGCTGTTTCTACCTCTTGGTTTTTTCGGTTTGCCGACTGAAACACTTAATATTCAAGATGAATGGCTCCTTAACAAAGGCCGATAAAGAGTTTTCGAAGCCTAAGAGAAGCTAAGAATGACCGGAGAGCAGTGGGTGTACTGCTCTATGATCCCATACAGAGGTCAGGAGTAAAGCACTTACCCAAAATACGAATATCCTCCTTTTCGAGGTCTGGAATGCATCTTTTGTCGTTTTTTCCTTAAAAAAGGGTTGCTCTCGAGTCGATGTGTAAATTCCCAGACCTGCCCCATCTTTCAGTGTTTTTCGGAGTGTAATGCTCATCAGGAGACATGGATTGTGTCCGATATAATTCTATTCCCATTGCGTCTGCTTTACGGGTGATATCTTCCCAGAGAATCGGTCACTTGAGATCGAGTAAGGGCAAAAAAGTCTTGGAAAACTAGGAAAAGCCAAAAGCCATAGAAAATNCACGATTCTAAATAGTAGTCAGGACGCTCGCACTTCCTAAAGTTCTTGATGTGTTTGCAAAGCCTCCGTAGAGGGATGACCTTTTTGTAAAGCCCATAATTGGCTTATCTTGAAAATATCTTCAATCCATTCTCTTCAAAAGTACTACAAGCCCCGCCCCATGTCATATGTCCATGAATCTCCCTAGGGGCATTTAAATGCGATAACAAATTGGTCATATGTCATTGGAATTGTTCACTTTGTTATGCCATCACCATCAGGGATACGCCATGCACTTGTCTTTAATTTAAAATTGTAGATGCTCGATTGGGTATGTAGATGCTATGGGTATACGAACAACTGGGGAAGGGCAACATTATGTGGGAGAGATAGGTGGCTAGACAGACGAATAAGTAAAGTAATCCATGTGTTTCAAGTACTTTGTGCTGTTCGACGGAATAATTGCTCTTTTTCGAGCACTTGACGTCAGGGAAGGCCGTTAGTTTCTTTCTCGGCTATGAAAGGCAGTTAAAAAGGTGAAATTAAAGTTGGTTGATGAAAACGGATAACTAAATAGCCAAAAAAGGTAATGCTTGTCGCTGATCAGCTCTTCCTAGGATGCGCCATGCATTCGTACTCCATCCAAAAAGCAGAAACTCGCTGCCAGAGGCAATTCAGCTGTCAACACTTTTACCTCTTCTGACAAGTCTCATAGGAATAGAAGGGCATATAACTCTGTTCCCTGATCTTTTTTCTTATCCGTATGGCAACTATATAAGCCTTCTGCAATTTTCCGTGGGAGGCGAGTGCATGGCGTAGAAGCGTTCTTTTTCTGACTCCTCCGTTTTCATTTCTTCACTGCTGATCCAAGAACAGTGTAATTAATGGTGTTGGCTAAAAGGCTTAGATGGCTTGAATTTTTTCTAGCGACTTAATTATCTTTTATTCAGTCCAGTTACTCAATACATCCCAAAAAAGTCATAATGCCCTGTGCTCAGCTATAAAATAAATGGATTTCAGCTGACTGATAATTGAAAAACGTGAAATTCTATCGCTATGGTGCATTAGGAATTTCTCGGTTATTTTGGGCCCAGGCTATTTTACAACTGTCAATCATGTCAGGCTACTCAATCCTCTTATCATGGATTGAGCCTGATTCAGAACTCCCCCGTTAGGAATCGCCTTCAGAGCACCTTCACTTGGCTCATTTTAGCTTTTTCACGGCTAATGATTTTGCAGGGGTGTATGGCCCCATTTCATTTCCTAAACTGCTCTTTTTGGTAGTTGCGCCAAGTGCAAGCCATTGCAATGTCATATGCCGTGCACTGCTAGATATTATAGGGAATTAGATGTTAGATTCTTCGTCTTGGAGGTTTCTCCAAGCTTTCTGATGATTCAGGGACCACTTCAGTTTATTTCGTATTCTGTTTATTAATATTTTATAAGTACCTGCTCGATATAATAAATCCCGAGTGCAAAAAGAAAGCTCCAATGTTTGTAATAGCTGAAATGAATGTCCTTCCGGAAAGGCTCAAAAAGTAGTAGCGCATCAAATGAGGGCGACATTTCGTATGCATTAAATATGGGCTCGATCCCTTGTCTCTTCTCAGTCAAGCTATAAAATGTCGGTCGCGGTCAGCTGAGCTGCACCTCATCCCGATTGAGCGGGACTCACTAAAAAGTAGTCAAATGGCACTGAAGAAGTTCTGGTAACAATTCGCAAGCTCTGGGAGATTGAGGGCTCAAACGACTTGAGCGGATTTCGGTCTCGGATTCAAACCCTAGATCATTGTGTGGTATTTCACCTCCCAGCACCCGATTGATACAATGTGGTGCGGGAAGGTATGGAGGGATTGTTATGTGTTAGGTCCTTTTTAGTGGTAATGTGGCGGAATCCATCGGGAAGCTTGCTGGTATGTGCTGGTTTGAGTGCTCTTGCGACCGAGATCCAGATGGTTGTTTTCAGCTAAAGTCTCGGACTGGCCGCCGTGGTCAGAGCTACGGGGTAGGTAGCCTAAGACCTCTGAATACATCAAAAGATGGAAAGAAGGCCGAATTGTCCCGAGCTCTCCAAATCAAGGCAGGTTCCTTATAGACCCTATCCCTATTTCGTCTTTGATGTTTAAGTTCTTGGCAGTGAAGCAATTTTCGGGCACTCGACAGTAGAAAACTCTCATCTTGCTAAAAATAGAGCTGCATATAATCGTAGAACTAACAAAAGCCTACGCCAGATTGCGCCTCGATCCACTTCACCCTGGGAAACGACGTGAACCCACTTCCTTCCAGGTCTCTTGAAGAGGAAGTATTTGTCTTATACTCGATTTCTCACTACGCAACCATTATGAAATATGCATTACCTAGTCCAATTGTAAAAAATCGGTCCTTTGACTGGCTCGTTTCTGAGTCTCCGCTGAGAGGAGACACCTGTGAATCCGTAAATAGTCTAGACGAAGGGATGTCATTGCATAACATTATTCCAGAGGATCAGGATCTTTGAGCCCCATGTGCGTGAACACTCTCAGGACCCTTGAATAGCACGGCGACTCTACCCTTTCCCCAGTCAATTCAATTAGCAAAACCATTGGCAAAGTTGCGAAAAGCTCTCAAATGAATCCCCTTGCGCCCGCTCGGGACGTATCGGTAGGTCGAGTTCATAGGCCCAACTCAACCACTTTGGCCAGCTTCATCTGGCAATTATAAGCATCGTGCTCTATGCCCCTCTCGTATTTTCTAATTAGTACGTGGCCGGTGTGGGCGGGGCGATCGATGGGCGGCGGCGACGGGTGGCCGTGGCCGGACGGCCATGGCGTCGCGGCATTGACTCGGCACCAAGGCTTCAAATCAGGTTCGTAGTCGTCGTCGCTCTTTTCCCGGACACGAAAAGTCCGCCCCTCGCCATCCAGCCATCCAGTCAGAGCCACCACTGCTCCACTGACTGCACTTATACCGTAGTACTGTCTGGACCGTTCACATTACATTCGTCCTAGGACCCACTTTCACCGAAGACGAGTGATGCGGTTATGCGATCGCTAGTTGTTACGCTGCTCACCTGTTGCACTGTGATTCGTATCACCGCCGCTACCGTAAAATGCTACTGTACGGACGATCATTGCGTACCGTATGGTGCATGCGACGGAACCGTATGCTTGGTCGGTATATTACGCGAAAACAATCAGGTGATACGCACCTGTGGATCACGACCTCTAGGATGTCACAGGTGAGTAAGCCACAAGTATTGAGTGCTATTGTAAAGTATCGATGATGTAGATATTTTGNCCGTCTTGCCAGCTGATGGGTAATTTGGAAGGCGAAGAACTGCTGAAGCGAGTAAAAAGCTTTTCAAAGGCGTTGAGCCTTTCAGACGTCTCATTACTCTCTACGCTATGTGATTTTGGGGTCCTCACAGCAGTGCTTACCTCTTCTTGAAGGGGAAAAAAGAAGGTGAATCCTCCGGAACACTAAACTCTATTAATCTAAGGAATGAAGACTCTAGTAAACCTACCTGAAAACTTGCTCGGAACTAAGTACTTAGTTCTAGATTTGGAACGGAACTATGTTGATTCTCTCACAATATGGTAATGCTGTAGTTTATGGTCTTCCACCCTTGAAATCTATTGGTTATACAGCTTATCTTCATGTGGAAATGCAAAAATTGATGCTCCTATCCTCATTTATTAGTCTCGTAAGGTTTCTGAATGGCATCCTCTGATGTAAGCCTTCTTCAGCGAATGTAATTACATGGCTGGGATCAATTTTGGGTTAGAAACCTGCCTATTAAGATATCTAGAAAGGCTTCATCACAACTTATTGACGAATTTTTCTGGAAAGATTTAGATGGATTCGTTCATCTACCGCTTCCTGAAACTCTACCCTCAGGCTCATCATATTTCATAGGGCTCCGCATTTTCACATTAAATCTTGATGCGTGGCGCATCCTTCTCCTGGCACTGGGTCAGTAGATTGCCTTGAGATAAACTCAAGTTTCTGGTATTCCTAGAATGATTCAAATTTGATTTCTATGGGATTTGTTAACCAATGAATTCAATCCACATGATTTCTGATCGTTCACTCTTTCGGGGACATTCTCTGAACATTTGAAACCGATATTCAACTCGGAAGGTTGTGTTCTTAGAAAAGAAACTCTCATAGAAATCGTTGACTGACTGATGGTGGAGCGAAAAAGAGCCTATAAATCAATTCTTATACTGCAATATTCTATAGTTTTACATGATTCGAAAAATACGATTGTCACCAAGAGTGAGCTGAGTATAGACCGCTTTTGCGGGGTTTCAAAGACCACCCACAGCGAATTAGTCTACTATAAACCTACAGTATAATAACCCAATTTGAACGGCTTCGTAAGTTAAAGGATTTTCATAATAAAAAAATTATCCAGTTGAATAACAAGTAACAGTAGTAACAGTTTACTCCGTGATTTCACCTTGATCAGACTACCATATGACATTTTTATCTCAAAGGAACTCATTCCACCCAACTTGTGCAATTTTCCCAAGTCCTTGTAAACTACATGGGAATCTTGGCGCAATGGTGTTACCTTGAAGGATTGTTCTGATATAGATAATTACAGATCAAAAGGATCTGAAAACTCGTAGATCCAGCCCGCTACAATCCCGTAGATCGTTTTGGTTGGCCCCTTAGTAGTCCATTTTCATTTCTTGTGAAGTTTGCTTTCTTCTTTTTTACGTCTTTATTTTGATCAAATTTCTTATAAAATCCTTTTTTATCTGAGCGTTTTCCATGACAGCCAGTTAGCAGTGAGATCCCAATGATTCTTTGATTGTTTTCTGGAATCTCCTCATTTCGTTGGAAGAATTCGCCCATGTTCGGGTAAATAATGGTCTCATTGATGGGTACTGACAATAGAAAAGATGCAAAACGCTGGAATCGTCATAACTTTCGAAGAATCAAGTCGAGACAATTCAGATATTCAAATTTATAAAAGTAAGTATTAGAAACAGTATAAGTGAATAGTGGCATTTGATCAACGGTCTGGCTGTTCTGGTATTAGATCCTGTTGTAGAATTCATGACTTTTATTCTGTCATAAGTAATGATAATTAATTATATCAGTGATAGTTTTGTTGTTCTGAAACTGTCAGGGACCCATTCGATATATTTATCTAGCTAGGTGTACTGAATGAGTCCTTTACAACTTCAGAATAGCTAGTTGTAGGTCGCCCGGGACTTGAGACGAATTGGGAATTGGAAGAATTGTAACTGCTTGAAACAGTGGGTAATATAATATACGCTTTTGGAATAACTAAACAAAACTCCCACCTGATCCATTTTTGTGCTAATGCCGTTGTACTGCTCACGGTTCAGTCCCACTGCTGTTGAGACATTCTTTTTTTGCGAGATGATTCTTTCCTGGCGGAATGGCTTTTCTCCCATACGATCACAGCATCTGATGGGAGTACCGTGTTGTAAGCTCCGTACATCGTAAAGGATCATACTATGCGCTAGGTCTAAGCACTCACGAGGGTTTTTTGCCAGTAATTCCTGCGTAATATACCTAAAAACGAAGATCTCGCGAGAACGATGTGGGAAAATTATGCACGAATGGCCACGGAGTAATTTCGCAGTCAAAGTGTAATATTTAATGAGCCTTTTTTCGTTTACATCTGGTGAACAGTCCTGGATTTAGATTTCCCATAATCCATACACAACCGCCGTTTACTTGTTTAACTACATTACCGTTTTAAGCAGTTACTCTGTTTTTTCCCTGTAATGTTACCCATGGTAACCGTTGATTGAATAGAAATGCCAAGAATTCTTAATTATGAATAGATGGTTGCCCTGTGCTCAGATGAATCTTGAAATATGACACATTCTAGATTCTGAGCCTTCTCAGCTAGGGGGTAGGTGACGTACCCAAGTAGGGTATATGCCTGAGTCGGAGGGTATCGGCACCTCATGGGTATTCTCCATCTTGGAATCAGACTTTCCGAGGAAAACTACTCTTCTCGAACAAGAATGAGTACACTTATACAGGAACCCTTTCCAGAGAAGCATGTGAGCAGTGTGGCTGCGCCGCCTTTTTTGTGATAGATGCCCTACTACAGCGAATAGCTACCTTTGGAATGCCCCTGCTTAATGGTACTATTTCATTCGAGAAAGGCCGTTAAAAATAACGGAAACGAGGGCTAAAATTTTCGAAGAGTCATGTAATGTCTGACATAATGCGACCGCATGCAGAGCCTTGTTACTAGTTCAAAGAGTTTAAATAGTTGAATTAAGCCATAGGATAGACTGTCGTGCTGTCTTTTTTTGCAGCATCATTATGGTATCTATGAAGTACAGCTTGAAGCCGGTTACTGTAGCTTTGATTCCCTTTTTTGTCCGAAGCTATCACGGTTTCAAAGCAACTTCGACATTTCGCCCATAATCGCTTGAGATTTTTTGATGACCCTGCCTTTTTTCCCAATCAAGATCCATGTCTTTCTAGCAAAAATAAATAAATAAATAAATAAAACTGCCAAGATTTCCAGGCGTCCGGGCAAAAGTAAGATGGGAATAGTTTGGGGTTAAGTAATTGGCAACCTTCACTATGCAAAACTTCTGGGAGACAATTTGCTGGTGTGAATTTGATTGAAATGGAAGAATTTCTCCATTTTAGGGAAATGCTTTTGAAAAACAGAAAGAGCAGATTGGTTTTGGGTTTGATTTTGTTAGAAAATTGATGAGATAAGCTCATCAGATGCATTCAGTTTAAGAGCTAGATGATAAGGCGCTCAATACTGACCACGCTGACCAATATTTTTGGATTGCGCCACGCACTCGTCTTTATCCAGAATCTGAGTGAATAACTACGTTTTTAGCAGATCAGAAGCCCTACAGAGACAGGCAAATGTTTACGTCTAAGGCTTTCTCTTCTTTTGAAAGGGTCATAAGTACCAGTCTACTCTGTGATTGACATTAACTTGGTTCAAACCAACAACACCATCAGTTGACGCTAGATGATGGATACTACTTTTAATCTAATCTGATAGGATATTAATCATATCAGCAGACGTACTTTTTGGCTCATGTCTGTGTTGACAATAGTTTTTGTTCAGTTCAGTGGTAGAAACAGCTCAGAAAAGAAAGAAATGTTGTAAAGTACTGAACCATCTCATCCGATTCCCTTTATTACAACATAATAAACAACAAGTAATAATAGATATTGAACAACTGTGCTGAACAAAGCTTTTTTCTCCAAAATGACAACTGTCAAAAAGCCAGCTCTGAAGACTCGATCTGCGCTTTGAACACAAAGAGGGGCAATGAAGGTGCAGAACTAGCTCTTGGTTTTGTGAGTTTGCCCGAATCCCTGACGTTGGGTTTGGCAGAAAACAAACACTTTGATCAGACCTTTACCAGCTTTCCAATTATATTCGAGAAAAAGCTGATTCAAGGGACCTTTTCTTTAGTCGGCCTAATTTTTTTGCGTTTTTTTTTCGATACAGTGGAAAATATAGTCTGTCTGCTCTACAATTTTTGGCTTTTTTGTTTGTCATTTCAATCAGACTTAAGGAAGCTACTTCGATACAAAGAGTGTGTTGGAAAAAATCCTATAATTTTGAGTGACCTTTTAACAACTTTACTGAAGACAGCACAATCTTCTAAACGAAATTGTAGTGGGGTACATTTTATAGTAACAAGGGTGTAGAAGGGAAATGCTTTGCCTCGATATCTCTGGAATAAGCCGTGAAACTGTCTACATTCAGCATGATGGAGTCGTTTGAGTGGCCATGAGATTTGGTTGGTGGGAAAGGGAACAAGTAGGAGAGCCGGTAATCCCTCTGGGTAATTGTTTCACAAGAGTGTATGGCAACATACGTATGCAGACAAATCCCGGATTTGATCCATCAGGAAGCTTATTCAGGTTGCAGAAATTTAAGCCACCATTGTCCACCACTGTACTAGTTCTCTTTGGCTACAACAGGATCATAATAACGTGGGTGCCGAAATAGAAATCGTGTTTTCCAATGTGGCATTGTTGTTTTTATGCTCTCTAGCGGTTCATTCACCAATTTGTTGTGTCGGATTCGGATGAAGAGTTGGCTCGAGACGGTTTTCCTTGGGTTCTGACTTCCATAGGAAGACTCAGTTGGTCTTCAGTCTACCCTTGAACATCTCAGAGCTCGACCTACCTAGCCAGGATTTCATTCATCGGACAATGCCCTTTTCATACTTCTCGTGTCAATAAGCCCCTCCATCCC